GTCTGCCTTCATCACCATAGGCTCTTGCTCAAATACTATTTCATTAAATTCTTCTGTATCTGCCAATTCCTTTCAATACAATGACTCAGTATATTCCTTCCATCTTCTTTTGATATCTCCTGCCTATTCCCTTAAAAAAAATCCCAATAGGAAAACAATTTATCTATTCTGAGGAACTTAGCATTATTTCTGTTTAATGAATTTACACTCCTAGGGATTTTCTAAGACGTCCAGGCAGTCTCTCAATAATGACGAACTGCTACATTTCCTTTACACCTGTTCTACCATGGCCAATGAAATGAAAATAGGGATTAGGAACAGATATGAATTTATAGTCTGGCAGAATGAGTATAGGAATAAAGGGAAAAAATGATAAGCTGAAGCCCTAGAATGAAAGAAGAGTCTGCAAAGTCTCCTTTGAGGCTTTAGGATCCTTAATATTCCTTATTATTATTACATATCAAAACTTCTCTTAATTATGAGAAGAGGTGGAGTGAGCCCTTGTGGGAATCGGATGTGTGAGACTGGATTACTGGCAGGACTGTGGAAGAATGGTACATAGAAGAAACGCTTAAATGACTGCCATCTCTGAATGGGGCATTGTTACTTTGGATTATGCTAAAATTCTGAGCCCGAGAGATTATTTCTAATAAGGCTTTACCCAGTAATTTTTCCATTCCATTGATCTGGTTCACTATAACTTTTCAAAAAAAGTTTTATATCTGTTGCAATGATGCTTCCCTGGTCACGAGTAAACAGTTTAGAACCAATTTGAAGTCCTCATAAATTCTTAAAGATACAACAAAGAATAACTCTCACTCAGAACATGGAGACTGCCTGTACTTACAAATAATTTACAATGCAATTACTCTGAGAATTTTAGAGAAAAATTAAATTTCATTAAGTTTACTTTTTAAAAAAATAATGTATTTTATGTTCCCATTCCAAAGAAAGGTGACCCAACTGAGTGTGGAAACTAGAGAACAGTGTCATTGATTTCACATGCAAGCAAGATTCTACTGAAGATTATCCAAAAACGATTAGAACAGCACATCAGCAGAGAACTGCCGGAAGTCCA